ATCAAACCCAGGACTTTGCGCTTGAGAGGCAGGCGGTGGCACCACTGAGCTAAATCCCTGGCCCTAACATTTTCCCTTCAGGAAAGCATAAACTTCCAAGAAGCAGAAAAATAAGAGATTTTTCAGACCTCATTTCTGGTGCTTACAGAAGAAAGTGATTTAAACATTGGCAAGGCTGGTATATTTACAGGAATCTTTTTCTTTTGGGTTTTGTAACTCACCTGTCCCCCGTGGGCCCCGGGGGCCCTCAGTCAGGTATGAAGGCAGAAATAAGTTACTAAAAACTGTAGGAGGTTAATATTAACTTCCTCTTCCTTCATGAAGAAACCCTGTTGTCTGCGATCAACTGGTGAAACCAGCCGGGTGAGATGGTTTGTGCCTGGAGTTCTAGCTACTTGGGAGGCTGAGGCAGGAGGATCACTTGAGCCCAAGAGATGGAGACCAACTCGGCAGGCCTGGTGTTTAGAAGGGACAAGGCATAACCCCCACCCAGGCTGTGCTCACAGGTAAGGAAGAAGAGCCAGCCTAATGCTGTTTCGCTCTGCTGCTGTTTCTGACTTCCCTCCAATGTCCCTCAGAGCCTCCTGGAGTGGGGGTTCAGCTAGGAGCTCAGGGGGTGAGGCTAAGGGTCCTGCTTTGATTGGTCCTCGTCTGGGATGACACACGGTGACCTGGAAGGACTGTCCCTTCTCTTGGGACTTCGGACACAAGTTCTGGAAAGTACCATCTAGTGACGTACGCCAGTGATCCCAGCACTCAGGAGGCTGAGGCAGGAGGATCGATGTGAGTGTGAGGCCAACCTGGCCACATAATGAGTTCAAGGCCAGCCTGAACTGCACAGCGAGACCCTGTCCCTCCGCCATCCCTACATCTCATTAGAGATCTGCAGATAAACTAGTTAATCAGTTGGCTGGTGGGAGTGGCCGGGCCGAACCTTGGGCAGGCGAGCTGCACCGGTAGGACAGAGTCTCTGCAGGGTCAGAGTGGGCACTAAGGGGACAGCAGCGACCCAGCAGGTGGACATCGTCGCCCTGCACCGCACGGTCTGGGAGACACAGGCCCTGAGTTCGATTCCTGTTACCAAAAACAAATTTTTTTCTAATTGTTTTGTGTCCATGTTTGCAGGGAATGGCCTCGTGGCGAGTTGGTGTATGGACAGGAACCGCGTCATTCCGTGTCCCTGTCCGTCTACCTCCCTTACTTCCTATTACCTGTCCTTCGCTTTGCTCTTTAATTTATTTATACTTGGGTTTCTCACGGAAGAGAAGCCGAGCGCCTGAAGCTGCGTGTCCGACGTGGTTCACTGACTGTCCTTGGTCTTCATTCCCACGTCCCAGCGGCGGGAGGGAGAGGCCGCAGCACGGGGCCAGACTTCCCGTTGTGGGAGCCCGGGTCCCCTCCCGGTGGGTCTGGCGGGGATGTGACCACTTGAGGGGCAGGCCTGACGCTGTTCCCCGCTCCCCGGCAGCCCATATAAATGCGGCCCTGCTCTTCAGGGTGCTGGGGATTGGACCCAGGGCCTCCACCCACCCAACCTGCGCCTCGCCCACAACTTCGTCCGCAAATGCGGGGGGGGGCACAAGCCCTGAAGATTGTTGAGAGTTCGGGGCCAGCCTGGGTCACAGTTAATTCAAGGCCAGCCTGGACTACATAGTGGGGCCCTATCAAAGACCAGAAAAGTGCTTTCATTTTGAGGAACTCTCTCAAGTCACTAAGTTGCCCAGGCTGGGCTTGAACTTTGATCTTCCTGCCTTGGCCTCCTTGGGGCTGAGACCACGGGCTTGACCACCACGCCCAGCTCCCTCTCCAGGCTTTTTAGCGAATTTGATGGAAGCCAGGCCTAGAATCATGGCTGTGCTCAATGGATCTCGGGCTGGAGAGAAGGCGGCCAGTGCTGGCGTTGCCCACGGAGGCAGAGGTGCAGAGTCCCGGTCACTCTGAGCCCTGATGTCACAGGGCTGCGGTCACCAAAGCAAAGGATGTTTGCCATTAAGTGACTAAGCTTAGCTGAGCTCAGTTCAGAAAAATCTCTTTCCCGCTGATTTTTTTAAACAGCCTTAGAGAGATGCAGGATGAGATTTTTTTTTCTTTCAAAGCAAAACATTTATTGGTACATTTAAATATGAGATTTATTTTCTTAAAGAGAAAATTTCTATCGAGCTTCCAAAGTTAACACTGTGGACTTAGGACACTTAAATGATATCAAACAACAAACTGGGCCCCATCCCCTTCGTCTGGGTGGTTAGGAATACATAATACATATTTTTTTTAAAAAGAAAGAAAAACGTCTTGGTGGCTCATACCTGTAATCCCAGCACCTGAGGAGGCTGAGGCAGGAGCATTGCTATGAGTTCAAGGCAGGCTTGGCTACATAGTGAGACGCTGTCTCCAAAATAAATGAAAGAAAGGAAGTTATAAATACTTTCTTGTCCTCTTGATAATAAAAATAAATGGACACGGATTTGAGTGTCTGTTTATTTTATTTTCTGGGGCATAGAGTTTTAAATATCTACTTCCAAAATGATAAAACAGGAACATTTTATGTGAGGTTGGGAAGTTTTCACAGTCATCCTGCGACCCAGTCTGAATCAGTCAGCATCAAGTTGAGCTGTGAGGACTAAGCTCAAGGATCACTGGAAAAATGAAAACAGGGAAAGGTCAACCTAGGGCCAGAAAGGTGACTGCTGCTTGGGACAGCGTGAACCCCTAGTTTGAGAGCTTCTATTCTATTTTCTAACATTTTTTTTTTCAGTCAGGCCCTGGCTAAATCCCTAAATTGCCCAGTCTGGGCTTGAATTTGCATCCTCCTGCCTCAGCTTCCTGAAATCCTGGGATTACCAGCATGGGTCACCTTGCCTGGCAAATTTCTAAAGTACTGAAGAGTCCTTTGTGTTTGTACTACCCTAGGCCAGAATAACGATCGGTACCCCATCCTGCCCTGCCAGCCCCCAGTTTAACATCAGCGCCACCCTTGGTTCCTGGAGGTGGGGTCACCTCCCTTGCTCACACTGGGCCAGGCTGCGGGGTCCGTGTGCCCCTGGGAACCCAGCCCCCCCCCCGTGCTCTCGGTCCTTGGAGACCCGGGCAGCCAGACGGACTAAGCTTGCGAAAGACACA